TCGGTTATGTTCGTTCTATCCCTTAATCATTAAAGTAAGGAAAACAGTCTTTGAAGCATGGAGTGGCTTTAATTACTTTTGGAGTGGCTTTAATTCAAAGTGAGTGTTATTTCAATGGATTTTCAATGAGACTTCGTGACCCGACATAAAGATAGAAATATTAAATAAAATACGAGGGGGAGTGGACAAATCTTCGCTATTCCTAGGACACACAAAAAAAACGTGTCAGCGGCTTATTCAGTCCCTTTTCGGTCTGTAAGGCCCTTTGAAAGACAAGACTATATTTTTACAAACATGCATCCGTATGTCTTCTCTGTTTAGGAACAGGGCGTCCCATCCCGTCTGACTCGAGATTGGTGCTGTTGATACATCGGAATTCCAGGTGTCACTTATCGGCGCCACAACTTATCCTAGCTCGTTCACAATTATAACTCTCTAATAACTGGAACGATTGCGCTGAAACATGGTCTATCGGTGGATACCAGCCGAGAAATGCGTTTCCACATACATATCACAGTTGGGGTGCTTCTGCAATGCCTTTGAACATTTCAAGAACGGCTGGGTCGTTTGCACAGATAGCTGGCGCTTTGCTAAAGATCAACCGTCACAACTCAGAGAAGTGATCTTTCCTTACCTACGCGTACGAAAGTGCAGGGCTCGCATCCAAGGTCCACTGTTCAAGGTCCTTTATTGCCAAAAGCATCATGCTGCTGAGTGCTGACGCACAAAGTTTGGAATGAGATAAAGAAAGGCGATGTATTTATGCTAAGACATGTTTCCATTCAGCGCAGTGACGTGTCACATCATTCGAAAGGCATTTGATGGATATTTACTCGTCAGAAGCGAACTCGTCCCATTCATTCTACACTCAGAGTATGAGTTCGAAATGGTCACACCGTGCAGCTGCTCGGCTCGGGGCTGGGGAGACCGGGGCAAAACGGCCACCCGGGCAAAGTGGCCACCCCGTATTTTAGCCATTCACAACAGGTGTCTTCTCCAGTTATTGGTTGCCAATCGGCCGTTGGAATGAGCCACACCGGGGTTTCCGGCCCGTCGCTATTGCTCTGTGATACACGGAAAAAGTATTTCTTCTCAAGTGTCTTACTATTTTTTTTTAAATGCTATTTTATTCCATTGCTGTTTGAAATTTTATTGAAGCGTTCTTGTTCATGCATTGTGTGGTTACCGTACATGTCTTCTACCAATTTTAATGCTTTTTGCCCCACTAATAACTAGCTGAGCTGGAATATTTTTGTTCTGGACGGTATGCGCGGGGCAAAGTGGACGGGGCATAGTGGTCAGCCCCCAATTGGCCATACATTGTTTTCATTTAGATAACAAACGTTATTGATATTTTAATGTATCGCCATGCGCATATTTCGGCCACTTTTCGGTTACATGAGTTACCAAAAAATTACAATGCACTGTTTTTCATGAATGTCCTTGCATTGTTTAGCTACAGGTGGGAAGATGACAAAATAAACATCCATCCTCGTTTAAAACTTATTACCATGAACAACTCTAGTCGTGCATGAAGCAACTACTCAATATTTCTCATGTCGGGGCTCGGTGTTTCTCATGTTTCTCATTTAGCCCCCGGTGTCCACTTTGCCCCGGGGGTTGGGGCAAAGTGACCAAAATGCATAGGTGTAAAGTTTCGCCAATATCTCCTACTTATACGTGAACGCCTTTAGAAATGAGAGGAAGTTGAAATGAAAGGCAATCTAAAAGGGATGAAGTTGACATAGGAAGAATATTTCCAAGTTTGAAAATGAAGCATCGGTATGCGAAGACCTGGAGGCTGGAGTTCGTCCACCCGGAGCCCGTCCGCACCAAAAGCCACTGCATGGTCTTCGGCGCCGAGCTTCTATCCGAAGTGCCAAGATGGAGCCTGTCGGGCCAGCAGCTCTCCACCCGCCAGCAGTCCGAGCACCTCGGTGTCGTACTGGATGGGAGTTTATCTGCGGCGCCACACGTCCAGCACCGCGCGTCTCGAGCTCGTGCCAGCCTGTACGGTCTCGCGCCTGCTGGTATGCTGACGTCCGGCCTCTGCCCAGCCGACAAGTGCTTCTTGTGGAAGACTATCATTCAACCGGCGCTCACATATGGCTGCGTGGCCGCCCCGCTCAATGCAAGGGACATGACGATCCTCTGCTCCGCTCAAGCGACTTCCATCAAGGTGGTTCTTGGCCTGCCTCGCTCCGCCCACCATTCGGCGCTTCTCGCTGCTGCCGGCATCCAACCAGCACATGAACTGCTGCGGGCAGCGTGTTTCCGCACTTTGAAAGATGCGATGCGCTCAGAGCACCGGCTGCAGCAGGCGCTGCTGTCAGGAATCACCAAGCTGGCTATGTGCCCGACTGAGCTAGTGGGCTCATTACTGATACAGCTTCATGAGATGTGTGACTGCAACCTTTCTGCACTCCTCGGGGTGGCAGCAGGGCGGCCGTGCAGCGACCGTATCTACCCCCAACGGGCTCCCGATGGCCTAGCTGACTCGCTTGCCTTCCTGATGAGTCGCCGGGACCAAGTATCTCGCCGCCTGCTCCGGCTATTGACATGCCCGGAGCGGGAGTGAGTGTCGCCTGCGACATCAATGTGTGGCCCCTGCTCACCCACTGTCATGCTTTGTGTGATGTTTTGTGTGTGCCTTTTTTTTTCTTACTTTCTTGCCAACTTTGGTGCCTAATAAACTATGATGATGATGATGATAGGTACAAACAAACATTACATAGGATGGCCGCTTTGCCTCGATCTCCCCCTAATTCGCCGTATAGCTGCTCCTCGCTGATGGTGCTGCTAAGTTTCTTAGCTATATGCTCCACCTATCTTTGGGAATGGGTCAAGTGGTGCTCAGGGCACTAAAGAGTCGAGTCGTGGTGCTATTCCAGTGATTTTTAGCAAAGTAATAAGCTGATCAGTTCAGGAAAGCACATGGAGCGAAGGCGAGGGCCTGGGAGAACATCGTAAGTAAACAGTGCTTGCCCGTTTGTAGTTCTCTGGCTTGAAGGAGTGATTGACGGAGCGACACACTTCAGGGTGCTCAAGGCTGTCTTATCACACCCACCATACCTAGCTGTGCATTGTGCAACCCTAAGAGGATATGGGTAAGACTGAAAGGGCCTTACCCAATAGAAGATCGACGAGAACAAAGGGTTACACCACGGTTCACTGGTACACCATGCTATATCATGTTCCGCTATCCTAATATTCGCTAGCATATCTACCGAGCTAAAGAAAATAGGTGATGACATTGCAGAGGCGCAACAGAGATGGAGGCGAATCTATAAAGGCTTTCAACAAAGACTCCCCACCATGATTTTCCATATAGTCCCTATTCCTGCAGGTCAGGCAATGTTCAGCATCACACATCTGGGACTAGAAAAATAAATACGAGCAACGGTTCGACCAAAGATTACTACTGATCAAAGGCACTTCTATACTCGAGGCCAAACAGGGCTGAAGGGCAAGAGCAGGTGAAGTGAAGGGCAAGGTCAAAGGCCACGTGACCTGACCTTGATCTTCACCACATCAAAATCTTCCTGTCCTTTGAAAGAGCATAAGGCCAAGGTCGGGATACGAGCTTTGCTTTTTTGCTCATTTGATTAGGACTTCTTTTCGACAGCATCCATAGATAGGTATCGAACTTCAAGGTTTTGACTTGAAAAGACATCTTTTTGGGCAGGCTATGTGATGAATCAGGCTATGCGATAATATAGAATTAGTTTTGGAGTTATACATGTGATTTTAAACATTCCATGAGGAGCAAAAAGGCTTTTTCTAACAATTTGCCATAGCTGAGTCTGAATAAACGGTTGCATCGTCTTTCCTCGGGTACCTATATAGCAGCAGTCTTCCTTCATGATCTATCTAGCTGTGTATTTACGTTTCAAAGCTTTTGGGGTGACTCAGACCAGACCCAATGAACAGGAAAAGCACCCCCTCAACATCCCCACATTGCCATTATTCACCACCAGCGCTTGGTCAAACGATTTGCGGAGCTACACTTAGCTGAACAAGGGGAACGAAGCCGTGTCTTTAAGCCTGGATACTGAACGTTCTGTCAACGTTGTGATCAATGGTGACTATCCTATCGTAACCATTCTTTGCTGTTAGGAGGAACATTCAGCAGCGGCGAAACACCTTCAATTAAGGGGGCACTGCCGACTTTTGGTCTCATTCTTTCCATGCAACGCCCATAGGGCATGTTAAAATGCCAAAATCAAAGGGGGGCACAGTGCCCCGGTGCCCTCCCCGTTCCGCCGCCTATGGGAACATTACATGGAATAGAGAGCAAAGGTAACTCGGTGGCACCATATTTTTTTTCAAATACCTAATCGTTCTTAAGATTTATGGCTAGAAATACTTTTGGTACGCATAGATAACAACCAATATAAAACCAACTAAACCCGGTTTGGTGCAGTTTGAGCCGCAAGCATTCATAAGCGGCGGAACAAGGGAGCACCGGGGCACCGTGCCCCCTTTGATTTTGACATTTTAACATAAGCCCTATGGGCGTTGCAAGGAAAGAATGGGACCAAAAGTCGGCAGTGCCCCCTTAATTAAAGGTATTCCGCCGCCACTGCAGGCATTTACGTTTCCCTCCCAGCGACGTTCCATGGATTTGGTTCCCTTCTGGCGTTTACATACATGTGCACTCTGAGTGTTGACACATAACGCACCTCACATGGCGGTGTTCATATATTTCCCAGCCGCTGTCTGCGCGGACACTGAGGTGTTAGCCACTCCTTCATCGACTGACCTCTCAACAACCGCACCCACGTGCTGTTCAGTTCACAGGCCCACAGACCCCCACCCGCACCGTTCACACTCACAGCCGGCACAACAGTATATTGTCCGCATATCTTAGCTGGTGAGATAGGCAAACACTACTTGGCTCGCGTTATCTACACCCCCAGTTCACACACGTGGTAGTCGGTGTCGCCGACACCGACAGGCAGGGGGCGCCGAGCGCTGTGCCGTTTGAGCACGGTACGTACCAGAGGGCGGTGCCGGACAGACGATGGTGTTCTCCGCGGGACGGACTCCAAATGCCGCCAACCCTCCCGGCCACCAGCGGACTCGACTGTCCGTTCTCAGTCACGTTGCACGACACCACTAGCACGGCGAAATCGGCCTGGAGCCGGGCCCCGGCACAGAACTGAGCTGGTCGGGCCCGGCGCGGCGCGCGCGGACGGCCGACGGGCGCAGTGCTGCCGCCCGGTGGCCACCGGCCGACGACGGACATTGGCCGGCCGCGCCGCCGGCACCCGCCCCCCAGCGCTGACAGGTGCTGCCGGCTCGCCATGCGCTGCGACCGCCCCGCCGGCCATACACACGCATTAGTCATTACCGCATATGGGTGTATAAGCGGTTTCACAAAATGGCCATCTTTGGGCCGTCCGATGCACGACTTTATGACCAGCTGTCCGCCCGAACGTCGTTCAAATCAAGCAGCCATTTGATCAAAGATTCCCGAAAAAAAGAACGAAATTCCCATGGAATGAAATTATTAACCTATAAAGCTGGAACTCAAACTGGAATTGTAATCCCACAGAGCCTGTCTCAACGCCGAGCAGTCAAAATGGCCGACGACTCAGCGCTCGCTGGTTCGACCAATCATTCGCCATTAACTTTGGCAGGTACAGCACTGGTCTCACTGCGCGTCAGACATTCGTATCCGACAAACCGAGAAGAGCTCGAAGGCCGCGCTAACATTCACTCGGAATTCGGAAATAAAAGAACAAAGACGCGAGTTGTTCCGCACCGCTGATCGAGCCGATCGAGCCTAAATTCTCCGCCCGATATAGCATAAGCAAAAGTTTTTTTTTTTGTTTTTGTGTGGGGAGGAATTTTGTCGATGATATGCTCTGTCTTAAATATGGAGCAAAGAGAGTCCTTATCTTGAGATTTCAGGGTGACTTATGCTATGACATTTGGGCTATGCTCGGTTTTGTTGAGGTGACCAGTAAGAATACCCGCAGCGCAGTAAGACGAACGATGTGCCTTACCTCTATTTATTTGAAGTCACCAGCATAACATTTATTTTCGATAAAACACTGTTATGGACAACCTTAAGCTGTACTTGCTGTGGTTTTCCGCCCGTAGGTATCTCCTCAAGGCACGGCAGATTTGAAACCTTAAGATTAAATTAAATAAGATCGGCAAGTTCTGGACAAGCAGAATCGCAGGAATGAATTAGGTAGTCGACTGCCTAATAAACTGTTTTGCGAATTTCAAAATTGAGTGAATGAATGCTTGTGGTTGAATGTTTTCAGCTCATTACATAGTCACAATTTATCTACAATTTACAGTATATTTACATATTACAATTTGTGAGTACCTGCTGACTGCATCAAGCGGGTTATGGTTTGATAATATTCTCCACGGAACGGACGATAATATAAAAATAATTTTGATCGAATGATTTCAGTCTGCTTAAAGTAGCCATTACACCTTAACATTAGTTTTAAGTTGAGATAGCCAAATTGGGGTTCCTGGCTTGATTACCGGTTTGGGCACTTACAACATCGAGAAAGGATTTATTTAATTCCGAAATACTTAATAGCAAAGTCAGCAGTTCTCGGATTCTATGGGGCTAATTCATTTGAAAGCCTCCTTAGAATTTGTGACGTCAGAACAGAGCTAACGATTTTTAAATTGTATACTAAAGCCTTTGGTAAAACGTGGTGGTATACATATACTGCTTTGCGGACGTCTGCCGTACTTTGAGGATGCCAAATTATTGCTTCAAAATGACGTCATAGGAACAGCAGAGGTCAGGTCACCAAGGGTCACAGGTCAGGTCACATGAACCTAACTTTAGGTACTAAGGTTGTGCGATGCATGTTTTATGGCCAATTTTTCATTTCCAACTCAATGGTGTTGGTTATAAGACTATCAGGTACGGCTTAGGTCACTTTCTGGTGAAGATCAGGTCAAGGTCAGGTCAAAAAAGGTCAAATTTTAAAGTTGATAGTTTTGCATAAAATGGGTATTAACTCGATGCAGCTCGTCGCGGGGAGTCTAATGGTGGTCTTTGTTTTGCGCTACGGGGTCTAGAATTGCTAAAAATTGAGTTTGAAAATTTGACGTCATCAAATTTGAACAGTTTTTTCGCTATAACTTCGCCAAAAACAGAGGTATCAATCTGAAAGTTAGTATGTGGATAGAAGGCCGTAAGAACTATCACATATGTTCCGGTTTTTGCGAAATTCAAAAAACTTTTTGGATTTTTCGGCTATTATATTCAAAAAATCTATTTTTTGATTTTTGGGGTTCAAAATTTAAAAATTTCAAAAATCCGAGATAACAGTTTTGTAGCCCTGTCAATTCTACAGCTTTTATAATTATATCGTTTTTCTGTATTTGCAAAGCTATAGTCCTGACAGCTCTTCCCGCGAAACCCTTTTTTGGGTCGAAAACGGCAGAACATGACGTCACTCTGACGTCATTTCCGGCCAACCTATCATAGCCTTTGAAAAAATTTTGGTCACAATGTGTAAAATTGATGTCCGGGAGGGTACTGAAAGTTTGGTGACGATCAGCGCAGCGGTTCTGGAGATATATCAAAAAGTCTGGAGGGGGAGGGGGCAAAAAATAGCCCCCCCCACCAGGGCGCGGGTTAAAATGTACTATCTTGGAAACTGGTGGATATGTATTTTTCAGTGAAATTTGCTAGGTATTCATTTTTTCACTCTCTGAACCACGGTACTTACATCACTTTCATGCCAATTCATTAGCTTTTTTTGTTGGGAGGGTCCCTTTAATTAATAGTGTCCTACATATCTGGATATTTAATTGGATTCTGGCTTCCAAATAGGACGATATGGGAAAGGGAGGCTTCGTCAGTTTACGGCCGATGTTTCCAAAAATTAGGGGAGTCGTTTCACCATTTCACAGCTGGACGCGCTCAACGCCCGAGCTCGCCCCAGGAGGCCGGCGGTACGGGTCTTAGAAATGTGCGGATGAAGCTGCCCGCACCCAGTCTTAGGGCTTCGCCGTAAAACGCTGCAATGGAAGGCTGCGTTAACAGAGAAGCGAAGTGGAAGTCTCTGCTGAATAGCGATGGTGTTACATAATTTGAATTGCATCACCCACCAGTTCGCGTGGGCGGCTCGGGTGCGAATGACATAACTGGCAGGCATAATCTTTGTTCAACACCGACTGGAACGTCAAAACGTGACGAACAGCAGAGACAGCTCAAGGGCATACTATAGAAAATCGGCTGCATATTGTATTAAAAAGTAAATATTAGCAGTTTTCACGAGGGGCTATCTGGCGTATGCACCTAGTTTGAACATACAAATCTCTTTTGAGAAATGAAAATGTTTTAATTCATAGGTAAATGCTATTCCTACCAGTACCATCATTTTCAGAAAACATCGACGAAAGCAGACCGATGGCTTTTGGAGTCATAGACAATGTTCATGCTCATCAAAGTTAACATTACGAGCCGTGCCAAAAGCATTTTTTTTAAGTTTATCATATAGGGAATTTGCGTTGATTCTTATTTTTTGCTATTAACTTTATTATTTCAATTGGCTAGCTTAGGCTCATTGTTTCAACTAATTAAAAACAGTGGGATCAGAGGGGAAGGGAAGGCTTAGAAAAGGGATCAGGCGCCACAGCGCCTGAGTCCGTGGCCCGTTGCGAGTTGCGACTGACGTGCCCGCGCGTTGTACAGTGCGACAGGTTACCGAGCATTGCGAGCGCTCACGACGGAGAGAAGTGCTGCCCTCACCGGCTGCGTGGTAAAGATGGCCGCCTGCTTGTAATAGCAGTGAATGATGAAGGATGGTAGGTACTGCTTGTATCCTGCAGCTTGCGGTAAACTTGCAAGGCTACACTTTTTATTTAAAATACACTCGCTCTGAGAAACGCCTGAACAAGGACATAGCAACAGAAAATGTGAAATATGAACCCTCGAACTTGAAAGGGAGGAACGGATGGACCCCCTTCGGTTTTCCACCAGTAACTTGCGTAAATAACGGTCGATCGCGACGGACCTCTTAGTACTCACGAGTTAAACTATTTTACGCCTATAATGCAAGTTTCATGACCCTGAATCAAGCGAATAGTGACCTAAAAACTTCAAGCGATTAGTTTGAGCTTATACTCGTAGTTAGCGAAATCCGAATTTTGGAAGCCAGAGTTCATGTGTTGAATTGCTTGTTTCGCAGCTTCAGGCTTCTATATATATATATATATATATATATATATATATATATATATATATATATATATATATATATATATATATATATATACATATATATCCAAACATGGAAACTGGGGCATTGAATCATTCTCATTTCAGCATGTAACGTCTGTAGACGGCTGGGCAGTAGATCGTGAACAATGCATACAGTTCGTTCGACTCGCTATCAACATGCCCAAAACATACCTACTCGCTGCCCACAATATTTCTTTTCTTAAATAAATTTCGCGGTCTTGGTGTGTCTACTGGGCCAAGGAAGGAGGAACACATGCTAAGCAGGGCTTGTCGGCCTCTTGGTCAAAGCAGGAGTTTACGGGTACACGGCAGAATCTACATAGAGTCCAGTGTTTCAACATGCTCACTAAAAGCGGACACTGTCCAGTTAGAGCTGCCTGTATGCATATAAACGTACAAACCAGCATCGGTCCTGCCTAGCATTTAAATACCAAACACCCATTTTCCTTTAATTATTTTCTATGCATCTTACCCAAAAATGTTGTGAGCTGGCTGGTATAGTTCTAAGAAAAGAAGAAAATAAACATTTGACGGCGTAGTAGTCATAAACCGTTACAAAAATACATGTAGATATAGTCTGGCAAACCTAAGAAAGGACGGAGTTAAAGCGCCTGAATCACTTGCAATGTATGGTTCGGAAAAATGTGTGTGAAAAGTTGTGAGGGAAAATATATGTTCTTATGTTCCAAATATGCTCTCACAATATAAATGCACATGCATAAACGGCCGTGGCACTTTAAATCCGTTCTTTCTTAGGTTTGCCAGACTATAGTTATAAAGCTGTTTACGTATCCTCATGAGCCACATGTAGCCTGAGATACTGCATCTCCACTCCGGAGCCTTTATGGTGTTCCTGTATCGGTGATTCACATAAAGGTCAGCTGTGGCTGGGGTCAGGGCAACGGGTGGAAAAACGTCCAGAACCAATGCCTGGCCACCCCAGGACACGTCCCATCCATGCTTCCATCAAATTGTCAGCCCAACAGTTCTGCGCCGGCAGAATATAATCCA